CTTTCTGCTCTAGCAGCGACCTCTCGTGGGCAGGGTGGAAAATAATATCTCCTCTTTTTCACCAGTACTCTTGAACAACATCCCTTCCAAAAGCAGCAAAGTGTGTGCTTCTAAATTCCACCTGCTTAAAGAACCTCCAGTACTTTGCTCCTTGGCAAGAAAATAACTGCAAGCTAAGAAAGTAATAGAAAGGATAAGAAGGAAGATCCTCTCACTGATAAATGCGCATAAATAAAATTACAGATGAAATTCAATGTTTTTTTCCATGTGTACTACTTGGTCCTGATAGGTTCTAAATTAGATACTATTTAAAAAGAGTGATCTCTGCAATATTATAAAAAGTGCTATGAAAGCATTAGTTCAGTGCTCAATAGCTGTCCAATAAAAGAAACAAAAACTTATCAGATTTTAGAAAGTATTAGAAAAAGGAATACAAAACACACCGGTAAAACATCACTCTATAAATCCACAATACAACGTCACTCTATAAATCCACAATACAAAACATCACTCTATAAATCCACAATAAGCATACCTCTTGAATACAGTTATGTCTTCTCCTCTACCTGACAAAGGATACAACAAAACAGAGAGAAAAAAAAAAGGACAATAAAGGACAAAATGAATACAGCAGCTGCTATGTAAAACCAGCAAAATGTATAGGACTTAGAAGAAAAAATAAAAAGAGTATAGAAGAAGTTTATGGATTGACTAAGGAAAGCAAATATGGAACCCTTATTTCCTTAAGTTTGAAAACAGAAGAGCAGGGGATCATCAAAATATAGTCAATCAAATCAAACATTTAAAATGAGAAAATACCTATTCATGCAGTATATCCTCAATTTGCAGAGCCACATTTTAAAGACGGATGCAAGTTTACTTAAGATTTAGAAATAATTAGTGAAGAAGATTTAGAAAGAAATTAGGCAAAAAAAAATGGAGGATCAGTCTACAAGGAACTGTTAAATGTCAAGTTCAGGAAGACATCGAGCTACAAACCGCTGGAAGCTGGGAGAAAGCACCCAAACAAGCACCACTCTGTTACAGCATGTTTCTCTAGGAATCAGCTATTATTTTGGGGGCAGTTATACTGAGCTAGATAGACTTGTCTGGTCTAATACAGAGATTTGTTTAGTGCATCCAATAATTCTACCACAAAGGTATGCCACTAAAATAGAATGAACATTTAAACTGGTATCCTTTTTTTTTTTTTTCATAAACAAAATTGAACACCAAGTGAACCTACATTACGCCTGCTTCTCTCATCATGGGAATTTTCATATGCATTTGCATTAAATACACATGATAGGGGTAAGTCATCCCAATAGGAACTACTGGATGTCTCATCCATAAATAAAAGTTAAATGTATTTGTTAAAATTCACCACTGAGGCTGCCATGTCAGAGCCCCAAAGACTGGAAATGTCACAGTTAAAGTTACACACTGGCTTAATTTGTTACCTTGGGTGTTGTATTGCATACTGCGTTACAAGACATAAGTGACATTTACATTCAAATCTCTGTGCCCTAGAGAAAATGTTTTGAGGAGTAAATAATTATAAACACCACTACAATTTCTGCAAGGTCTAGTCCTATTAAACTGAATCATCAATGATATGGATGAGGGGACAGCAAGTTTGCAGATGATACAACGCTGAGTGGAGCGGCCAACACTCCAGAGGGCTGTGCTGCCGTTTAGGAAGCAGGTTGGAGAACTGGGCAGAGAGGAACCTCCTGAGGTTCAACGAAGACAACTGCAGGGTCCTGCACCTGGGGAGGAATAATCCCAGCTGCCAGCACAAATTAGGGGTTGACCCTAAAAGAAAGCAGCTCCATGGAGAGGGATTTGGGAGCTCTGGTTGATAAGCAAACCACTGTGCCTTTGTGGCTAAGAAGGCCTATGGGATGTGGCCTGCATTAGGAGGAATGTTGCCAACAGATCAAGGAAAGTCATCTTGCCCCTCTACTCGGCTCTGGTGAGGCCACCCCTGGAGTATTATGTGCAGTTCTGGGTTCCCCAGTACAAGAGGGATGTGGAACTTCCAAGAGTTCCACACTTACATACACTTACTTCCAGCATGAATGACAAAGATGATTAAGGGACTACAGCATTTACCGTATGAGGAAAGACTAAGTGAGCTGGGTCTGTTTAGCCTAGAGAAGATTGACAGGACGTCTTATCAATATGCACAAATACCTGAGGGGAAAATGTAAAGAGGATGGGGCCAAACTCTTCTCAGTGGTGGCCAGTGATAGGACAAGGGGCAATGGGTAGAAATTAAAACTCAGGAAGTTTCATCTGCATATGAGTAAGAACTTCTTTCTTGTTAGGGTGACAGAGCCCTGGAATAGGTTGCCCAGAGAGTCTCCTGGTGGAGTCTCCTTCTTTTGGATATCTTCGACTTAGGTGGATGCGTTCCTGTGCAAGGTGCTCTAGGTGACTCTGCTTAAACAGGGGAGTTGGAATAGATGAGCTCTAGCGGTTCTTTCCAATGTAAACCATTCTGTGGTTCTGTGAAAACAGCAACACTTTCAGCAACATCAGCTGAACACTACTGTGATGCTTCTCTTACTAGTATTTCTGTCTGCTCTGGACAGTTTTTTTAAACCAAATAATTTATATGAGTGTTCATCACCTGCAAGTTTTCCACTGAGTAGCTGCCTGAAACAAGTTTCTTCATTATTCTCAATGTTGCAAATGAAGTTACAGGAAAAAGTTGCACTTTAATTAGAGAAAACAGAAACAAAAAAACACCAGATTATGGTAAACATTCCCAGAACTGTAAGTCATCTCAAATTGACTTACACCAATAGAGCACTGCCTTTGCCGGTTTTCTTCAGCCTGTTTGCTATCTGTAAATGGAAACAGTTCACTGTCCACACATGAATATAATAATTTTTCATCTCTGGACTCCATGCGAGACAATCCAAAATGCACTACAGTTTACTACACTAAGTATTACACTTTACAGTACTACACTGTAGTACTACAGTACTACACCATAGGATTTGAACAACATGTAGTAAATCAACTATATGTCACATAAATTAGATCAAACAAGGTATTTGTTATGATTTGTCATGATATTAAATTTATGATTCTATGGGAAAAAAACATAAAAGTAAATCATTAACAGTTAAGGATCAAATTAATAATATGCACTTCACTTCTGGTTTTTGCTAGATTTGAATGTGTGACTTGTTAAACTTGCAATGAGTGAATTGACTTTCACAAAAACAAACAAATAATCCCACTGATAGGACTAGAGGAAATGGCCGGAAACTGAAGCACCAAAAGTTCCACAGGAACTTAAGGAAAAATTTCTTAACAGTGAGGGTGACAGAGCCCTGGAACAGACTGCCCAGAGAGGTTGTGGAGTCTTCTTCTCTGGAGATCTTCAAAACCCACTTGGATGCAGTCCTGTGCCACATGCTCTAGGTGACCCTGCGCGTGCAGGGGGATTGGACTAGATGATCCCCAGAGGTCCCTTCCAACCCTAAGCATTCTATGATTCTATGAAAAGCCAACGTGAAAAGCCAGGATCAGAAAATTAAACAATTACATGCACTGAACTCTTCCCAACAATATAAAACATTATCAGAAGTAGATTGCACATCAAACAGCAACATGAGGCAGAGGCACCATTCAAATTAAATAAACTCTTTGGCTATGGTTTTACAGTAGCTTGGTGACAGCAGAGAAACAGATTTTCATCTTTTGTTTCAGCAATGACTGACGTAATGGAGAGGCTTGTGTGCTTCTTCTAATCTTGACTTTTTTCTCCTTTCTTGGACTTTTTGATCTGCTCAACCCTTTTTTTTCTGTCCTCTCACCTCCTCTCCTATGTTCCATATTAATCATCTACTCAGTCCCAACCTCCGCAACCTCCACATCATGTTTCTCCAACCCCACTAGAATTCTATCTTTCACACACTAATCATTTGTCCACTTCGTCCCAGTCCCTCCTCTCCTGATGTCACAACCAACAGAGACAAATAATAGGCAACTTGACAGAGAAAACAAGATATTCTGTCACTCACTGTACCCCTTCTCCCAGGCCCAATTAAAACCAGGTTTCTCACCTATCTCAGCTCCTTCTGTCAATGCAACTTGGCCTTCTCATAGAACTAAAAGCCCCCTTGATTCAAGGAATTTCTTCTCTTTTCTTGGAGTCATCAGAGCATTGCACTGAAAATAAAGAACCTAAATACCTCCTCAGTCTAGTGCACAACTGTTACTCTGCTTTAAGCTGCACCACCCTTTATAGTGCCCTTGTCAAAATTTAACCAAAATTTAACCAAATAGAAAGTGAAGTATTATGTCAAATTCAGGCAAGGTTCCTCCTTTGGTCTTTAAATAATAATTATTATCATTATTATGGTCATTCCTCCTGCCAAAAAATCAAGGCAATGCCTCTACACAAAAGCCAGGAGCATCTCAAAATAATGGAATTCTCAAATTCAAAAGTGGGATAAATGACACATTTCCGCATGTCTAACAGCCACAGCAAACAGAACTGTCACAAGACACCACCTGATAGGAAGTTTGCATATAACTTTTTGCCTGTCTAATCCACCTTTTTTGATTTTAGAAACAGCATATGCTATTTTATCTGGTACTTTTTACAATAATTCATCTTAGGGCAGATAGAAAACAAAGCTCAAAAAAGTCAACAGTAACTAAGAAAATGGTTTTATTTCACATGTGATAATCTGAATAGGCAGCAGTACTGGCTCTACCTATCAGAAAAGGCATCTTTCAGACCTCATCATTTTGAACTGTACTGTTCTTCAAATCACTTAAGGAGAGCACTTACGAAAACCTAATGAACAGCTTGTTTTGAGAGGATAGTGAGAAACTGTCTATAGAGTGTAACATATTGCCCTCTCACAAACTGTGAAGCAACATGCAAATTTGCTTTCATGACTTTTAAAAAGAAAACTACAACACATCACTGAGATTCTTCCATAATTAAAAATGAGACAGTAACACTAGTGAAATACAGTTTACGTGATTAACAGATTTTACTCAGTGTGTACACAGTTCTTCAAACTAGGTTACAGGGAAGCAGTTTAGGAAGCATGAGTAACCTTGGCAACTGTTACATGGGATAAGTCTTTGCTGGTTTTGATTCCTCTAGCTCAGCCTCCAACCAGCGGAATCTACGGTGACGGCGCAGAACTTCAATTGCTTTTTGTTCTAGAGGTGTTGCTTGAATACCCAGGTCCTCCAGACCAGGGAGATCAGGAAATGTCATGTCAGTTGTGTGAAACTTTAAAAAAAGAAAAAAAAAAAAAAAAGAGACACAGATAGAGAGAGGAGAAGTCAGTTGACAGAATGAAAAATGTTATAGTCAATGCAGTTATGAACATATTACAAAATGCTATATACCTGGGATCACTTTTTTCTTTTATGAAAATGACAAGTGCTAAAAAAAATTTAAACATATGTAAAAATTTTCTGTAAATGACAGGTCCTGGAAGATTCAAATGCAATTACCTAGATTTTTATTTGAAACATTTAATTTAAAAAAGGCTGCTGAGGTTAAAGGTTTCCCCCCAGAAAAATCCTACAGTACAACACACCGCAAAATCTTGTACCCAAAATGATTCTCAAACACAAATGTGGGCTCAACTAGCTAATGGTAAAATCCTTGACCATTATTTTGTGTGTTTTCTTATTTTTCTTGGGAAGAAGGAACTATTCCACATGTCTCTGCAGAAGTATGGGCACATTTTCAGAGATATTTAACACCCAATCTACTTCAATATCATAAAAAAAAGGGAGGACTGGGAAATGAGCTGCAATAGATGCAAAAGCTTTCTTCATTTTATCTAAACATTATCAGGAAATGTAGGTCAAACGGATAAAAGCATATGTGAACTGCAAACATATAAATAATAACTATTTTAATTTGTCAAGAAAAGTCAAGCTAAATGAACTCACGCTTTCACAGAATCATAGAATGCTTAAGGTTGGAAGGGACCTCTAGAGGTCATCTAGTCCAAACCTCGTGCACACGCAGGGTCACCAAGAGCACATGGCATAGGATTGCATCCAAGTGGGTGTTGAAGATCTCCAGAGAAGGAGACTCCACAACCTCTCTGGGCAGCCTGTTCCAGTGCTCTGCCACCCACACTCTCAAGAAATTTTTCCTTGAGTTCCTGTGGAACTTTTGCTGTTTCAATTTGTGGCCATTACCTCTAGTTCTGTCGGTGGCCACCACTGAAAAGAGGCCAGCACCATCCTCCTCACTGCCTCCCTTGAGGTACTTATAGACACTGATCAGGTCTCCTCTCAGCCTTCTCTTCTCCAGGCTGAACAGGTCCAGCTCCCTCAGTCTCTCCTCATAGGACAGATGTTCCAGGTCCCTGATCATCTTTGTAGCCCTGCGCTGGACTCTCTCCAGCAGCTCCACATCCCTCTTATACTGTGGAGCCCAGAACTAGACACAATACTGCAGATATGGCCTCACCAGGGCTGAGGAGAGGGGCAGGATCACCTCCCTCGACCTGCTGGAGACACTCTTCTTAACGCACCCCAGGATCCCATTGGCCTTCTTGGCCTGTTGCCGTTCAAGCGGCGTGGCGACCTGGTTCAGGAACGGCACGGCGACCACCCCCAGGCCGCTCGGGCCATCAGCTCGCTGACACCAATGTGGTGGACGGCAAATGGCGTTTATTGATGGGTAACAAGGTGTTATATAGCTAAGGTTTACAACGTCACATCCGTCTGCTTACATCATAAACTAAACGCTATTGGCTATTAGGGGCC